TCTACCACTGAGCCACCTTCCCAGCCCCAGCACTAACATTTCTAGTAGATGTTTAAAAAAGCAAAAGTTCCTTCTCAAAAATAATAAATTGTTAAGATTGTGATTCTTCATTTGCTAACAATGACACTGCTTTCAAATATATCAATTCAATACAAAGTTTTCATGACATAATACAAAATTCGCATAAACATTAGGCAGACTTTATAATAAGTGAAAGTACGTTTTTGATAAGCTAACACTTCTAATGTATTAAATGAACACCAAAAATACTTGCTTCGTAGACTATTTTTGAGATTCCTAATGTATTTGGGTTGTATAAAGAAATCTCTCAAAATTCTGACAAGATTAATTCTCTTTTTTTCTTCTAAGGACTTTTGAAACTTTTGCTCAGGGTTTTATCTTAATTTGCTTTTTTTCTGCTGCAACAGAACATCAGAGACATTACTAACAGTGGGAACACATTAGTTATTTGCTACATCAAGAGTACAGGAAGTCTAATACCCATGTGTCCATCTGGGGATGGCCTTCCTGTTGATTCACCCATGATGGAAAACAGGAGGGCAGGAGATGCAGAAGGCTAGGTTTGCAGGCCTTTGGTGGCAAACCAAAGCCTTATGCTTGACAAATACACTGCAACCTGAGCTACACTGCCGTTACCATCACTTTCTCTCATGTGGGATATTGAGCTTCTAGCCCAGAGCCAATCTCAGGTTTTTGCCTGTCTTGGGGCTTGAACTCAAGGCCTGGGAGATGTCCCTGAGCCTGTTTTTTGTCCAACAGTGGCCCTCTACCACTTGTGCCACAGCTTCCTTTCTGGAGTTTTGGCAGTTGACTAGACTGGCAGGTTTTCCCAGATTGGCTTCGAACCTTGCTCCTCAGTTCTGTCACGTAACTTGCTAGGATTACAGGTATGAGCCAATGGCACCAGGAATTTCATTCATATATATGTTAGGTTTTTAAAAAGAGGTAGCAGAGTAAGAACAGCACCACGCACGTGGTATTCAGGTAAGGGGTAGGTTTATTCAGTAGACCTGCTGGGACCAGGCAAGGTTGGCACTCCATGCGGCTGGCAAAAGGGAGCGTCTGGCCCTGGGTTAGGCCTTATACAGGGTATGGGTGGGGAAAGGTGTGTCCAGGTAAAGGGAAGTGGGACCCGGTAAGAGGTGGGACCAGGTGGAAGCAAGGTGTGGTCACATCAGATTCAGCTGTGACCTCAGGGGGTGCAGATGTGACCTCTTCCAGGTGTCCCAGTTGCCTAGGTAACGCAGGTACTGGGCGGGGTCTGCTGCCATCCAGGAATGGACCTTACAATATATTCGTATTAAATATACTTATTTATAGTATTTAATTTTTGGTGAGCCGTGGGGCCTGAACTCTGGGCCTGGGCGCTGTCCCTCAGCACAAGGCTAGCGCTCTACCACTTGAGCCACAGCGCCATGTCTGGTTTTGTGGTGGTTTATTGAAGAGTCTCACGGAGTTTCCTGCCGGGACTGGCTTTGAACCGTGATCCTCCCATCTCAGTCTCCCGAGTAGCTGGGATGACAGGCGTGAGCACCGGCACCTTCTTTACTCATACTTTTAATAATATAAACGACTTACACCTTACACCCCGACTTCCACGCTCATCCTACAGCGGCCTGCCGGGACGGGTCTCAGGCCTGGATATCGCGAGATTTCACACGAGAAGTTGGAGAGGCGGGAATCGGCGGCGGGGAAATCGCTGAGTCACGGCGGGGAAGTCGCCGAGTCATCGCGAGCGCCTCCTCGCTGGGCCGCGGCCTGGCTGCGCGTGGCAGAC